GGGGGCCACCAGAGATGAAAAGAGGAGGTGAAGGGGCTGGAAGGTGCCCACCCTCTGGCTGGGCTGTGCAGCAGCAGGCTGGGACAAACTGCCTTTCCCTCCCTGGGTGGTGGTTTGGGGACGGTCGAGCACCTTTGGTGTGGTTTGGAGGGCACACCCGGGGTACAGCTCTGGGTTTGATGTGAGGCAGGCAGTGGTGGGGGGCTGACGGCCCCTTGGAGCCCTGGGTGGGGCAGGACGGGCTGCAAGGGGTGAGGTGGTTCCTGAGTGCCGGGCAGGAAGGTGGTTTGGATGTGACCCAGCGCCCCTGTCCGTGTCTGGCTCCGTGTCTGCCGCGGCTCTGCCCTGCCAGGGCTGGCTTTGGAGGGCTCTGAGCCGGGTGGGTTCTTAAAAAACAAGCCTGGCTGAAGCATCATGTGCAGCTGAGCAGATCCCTGCTGACTGCAGAGGGAGGAGAAGAGCTTTTCCAGTCAGAAAACCAGCTCGTTACCCTGCTGCCTGATGGATTTCAAGCTCGAGGAGTGCCTGTGACCAGCAGGGAAGCTTTGCTGGACTCCCTGCAGTCTCTGTCACCCCCCCCCGGGCTCTCAGACCCCTCCCCATGTGCCTCCCTGTCCTCTCTCACCTCTCTGACTCCTCCAGCCATATGGGAGGGTTGGAGCCTCCTCTTGGGCTCGTTTCTGTGTTTCCTTTCCCTCAGTCACTTTTAAATTGCCCCTTAAGCCTCTCCCTTCTCCCCCGTGCTCTCTCTCTCGCCCTGTGCTGGCCTTACTGGGGGTGGATACCGACCTTGGCACCCTTCCCCATCTCCCTGGAACTCCAACATGCCAGCGTCTGCTCCCTACAGTCCTTTCCCTGCGGTGTGGGGAGCGTGGGATGGAGGGTGCTGGGCCTGGGGCTGCTCAGAAAGCCAAGATCCCGATCAGAGAGAACCTTGGAATGAAAGGATGGTGTGTTCCCGAGCTGCCCTGCCTTTCCACCCGGTGGCCACAGGCCAGCGTGCCCCTGGGGGGGATGGGAGAGAGGAATCCTTTCCCTCTGTGTTTATTTTAAGTGTGATTCCTTGGAGTGACCGGCCCTGGGGCTGGAGCTGACCCGTCCTACGCAGCAGCAATAACCTCGAGCCCCCCCTGGGCCCGACCCGGCCGTGTTTTATCCATGAGCTCTACAAGAATTGCCAAAGCTGAGACTTGGGGGTGTCCAGCAGCCCCCGCTCCTGGGACTCCCCAAACCCCACTGTGAAATCCCCTCTCGTTTGCTCCCAGTGCTTTTTGAACCCGAGCCGAGTCCGGAGTGGCGAGGGCGAGCCCCCCGTCCCTCGCATCCTTTGTTCCCTTCATCTCTGCGGGGCGCTGGATTTCTTTGTAAATATTTAAACTCTGCTTCTGTGGTTTCATAATCCCGATGGCAGGGGAATAAACTTGATTTCTGTGGATGTCTCCCAAGTGCTGCATCTCTCTTCTTGTTGAGGCTCTTCCCCCACTCCCAGCTCGCGGCGGGGTTGGGATACCCCCCCTTGCCCCGCTGACCCCTGGCCTCTCTCCTGCCCACAGGAGCTGGATCCTGGAGCTCACAAACCTTTTACCTGCCCATTTCCCTGCTCCAGGGAAAACTCCCAGCCCTGCTGTTGGGAAGGAGGTTTGTGGGGCAGTGCAGGAAGGGTCTGTGGGGTTTAATGCCGGGTCTCAAGCAGGGCAAGCCAGGTGAACTGGGATGGAAGATTCCCTGTCCAAGGCTTTCCTTTAACTGTGAACAGTTTCCCTTTTGTCTCTCCCATCTTATTTTCCTGGAGGTGCTGCATTCCTTTCCCTTTCCAGTCCGGAGCCCTCCATGTTCCCAGGGGGAGGGGATGCCTGTGCTGGCCCTGGGGCTGCAGGAAGCAGAGTGGAATGGGAAGAGCTGGACTCGTTTTCCCCTCTCCCAGCAGGATCTGCTGCCTGAGCTGGGAGCGAGGGAAGCTGTGCCTGCTGACTGCGGCTGCAGCCACAGATTTTGTGTTCCATCTGATATCCAGAGGCTGGAGCTGTGCGTGTGGGGAGCAGATCAGCCTTAAAATTGGGTTGTGTCCGAGGCTGAGGGATTTTCCACATTTTATTGAACACCACCTGGATCCTCTGGGGCGGCAGATCTGAGGAGTTTATCCCACACAGCATCTGGAGGATGAGGTGGGGATGCCAAACCCCCCAGGGCCACAGGGGTCCCTCCTCACCTCTCCAGCCTGGCAGGATTTTCCTAACACCACCCCTGCTGCCTGGGAGCTGCGGGGAATCTGGCGTGGGATGTGTGGGAGCTGAGCCGCGTGGTTGGGGTCACGGGATGTGGGGATTACACGGGAGCAGCTGGGCTGCTCAGATGACCGGGATGCCCCCAGCTCTCTGCCCAGGCTGCTGTGCAAGCCCTGCTTCCCTCATTTTCCCCTCCGAACCCCCCACGACCAGCCCAGCCCCGGGAGCGAGGAGTGCCGTGAAGGGGAATGTCAGGATCCCTCCCGACTGCCGCGTGGCCTCAGCCATCATCCCCGAGTGACCCCTCTGCCAGAGTGGCTGAGCGTGACCAATCCCCCCCGGCACCACGGTGGGGAGCAGGGCTGGGGGTCCCCGACCTCCCACCCCGCAGGGATCCAGGAATGCCACGGCCCCGGAGCCGCCTTTGATGTGGGGTCACTTTGCCGGAGGGGAGGGGAGGGGGCCGGGGGGGTCACCCGTTTTTTTGTGGGGGGGATGGGGCATCAAAGGGCTCCCTAAAGAGCAATATCACATTGCACTCTGGCAGCTGCACACGGGGAGCTCTGGAAGCCACCTGGGGCTGTGGTGCCTCCCGGGCTGTGAGTCCCTCCTCATCCTCACCCTGTCGTCCTGTGATGTTTCCCAGGCAGTGGAGGGGGCAAAGGGGGTGCAAGAGCCAGCACTGGGGGTCTTTGTGCTGGTGGCTTCCCAGACAGGCTTCGTGTGTCATTCCCAGCTGGAGCCACAGCTGGAAATGCCTCGAGGTCCCTGCTTTGTTGGGGGGGGGGGGGGGTTGAAATTATAAATTTGGAGGGGGTGCAAGCAAGGACCCCCCCCAGCCTGGGGGAGTTGGGATCTGTCCCTGTTGAGCTGGGATTGTCCCAGTGGCAGGTGTGGGTCCATCCCCGTGGGAACTGGGGTCCATCCCTGCGTGTCCAGGGAGAGCTTGAGTGGCACATCAAAGGCCCTGGGAGGGCAAAGGGCACAGGAGCCAGGACCCCAAAAGGGGAATGGGGCCCAGTGACCCCATTGTTCTGGGGGACATGTGGCAGTGTGAAAGGCCAGGTGCTGCCCCACTCCTCCCACCAAACCCCCTGGTGGGTCTCTGCTGATGCTCCAGCACATGCTCCTGCCTCAGCTTCCTCCCAGGAAGAACCAGACTCTCCTGCACCTCCCAGACCCGAGGAACGAGTCCTGGAGGGGGAACAGGGCTGGGAGCAGGAAGGGACTTGCTCTTTGTCAGTGCTGGCTCGGGGCTGCCCACACAGGGCAGAAATGAGGCAGAACCTGTTCTGCTCATCCTCTGGGACACTGCCAGCACCCAGCACCTGGCACTCAGCACCCAGGAGTGGGGTTGACTCCTCAGAGGCTGCTCCAGGAGGTGGCTGGAAGGAAAATCACCCCCGAGGGCTGGCCCAGCCCCTGGGTCACCATGTGCTGGTGGTGACCCAGGTGTTCCTGGGTGTCACCGGGGTGTTCTGGGCTGACACAGCCCCTGGTCCTGCCACCCGAGTCACCAGCTGTGACTGAGACCCAGCAAACTCACCACACAGCAGGGGTGGGATGGGGACACGCTCTGCAGGATGGGACCCACGCCTTGGGCCATGGGCTTTGGCTCTGGCTGTGCTGTGCTGTGCCCAGGGCTGTTCCCAGCTGCTGGATGTGTCCCAGAGAGTGGCATCTGAGGTACCATCCATCCATCCACCCACTCATCCTCAGAGATCCAGGAACAGAGGGCTCATCCTGCCACGTCCTTCTCTATCCCACAAACGTTCCTTGCTCTGGATGTCGCAGGGACAAAGGGTCTAGGATGCCCAGAAAGGGCTCGGTGCCCACCGTGGGTGACCCAGAGCTGAGCCCCCAGCCCATGTTAGGGCTGTCCCCACACCACTGTCCCCCTGCAGAGACCTGGCCACGTTCACTGCATTCCCAGGACAGCCATCACAGGGACCTCGTCCCTCTGAGACCCCTCCTCACCAGAGCTGAGCTGCAAGGGGAGGAAGGCGAGGGTGGCCCACAGACAGATACAGTGTCACTGCTGAAGTCTCATTTCCTGAGACAGCAGGCTAAAAATAATCCCCTTTTCTTGCGGTTCTGTGCTCAGTTAGTGCTGCCATCTCACCATAAAACTTGGGGGGAGCCTGATCCCCCCCCTGCCCTGCCCCGAGCTGGCCTCTCTCCCCCTGGGATCGAGGGAAACTGAGGCACAGGTCCTGCTGTGCCAGGGGGGGGATGTTCCTGCCCTGGGTTTATCCCTGCCTGGCACTGCCAGCCTGATCCTGCGTGGGGCTGAGCACCCAGGGTAGGCCTGGGTGGGCAGAACCCCCGGCCATTCAGGGCAGGATGGGATTGCTCCTGGTAGGATGGGAGCTGTGGGTCTGGGGGCACCCACAGGATGGGGAATATGGGACTGTGGGGAGCCATGGGGTGAGGGAGGGGCTGGGCTGGGTCTGCCAGTCCCCCCAGTGCAACCCAGGTGCATCCTGCCCCCCCAAACCCCCGTGTGACATCAGGGTGGGGGGAATCTCCCACCCCATCCCCTTTCCCACACCCTTGACTTCGAGCCTCCACCAGATTTGGGGTCCCCCCACCGTGGGGCTTCATCCCCGCTGGGCCGCCCCTTCCCAGGTGCCTGACGCCTCCCAGTTCAGCCCAGTTCAGCCCAGTTCAGTCCCGTCCGGCGGGTGCTGCTGGCTCCAGTCCCTGATTTCGTGCCGCCGGGCGAGGAGGCGCTCGCAGGGCTGCGGTTGAGTCACCTCGCACCCAGCCAGGGGTGGGACCGGGGGGGAGCACCCGCGCACCCACGAGGGTCCCTGTGGGGTTACCAGGGTCGCGACGAGCCACCGACGCCCCACCACCTGGGCAGGTAAGAGTGGCCGTGGGGCTGGACCCACTGCGGGGGGCTGCACAGACACCCCTGGGAGGGGGCGTGGGGGGGGTCTGGCTCCTCTCGCCTCACCCCGTGGGCTGCATCCCCCTCTCCCCTCCCTGCTCTGCTCCCCACTGAGGAGAGTGGGTCGGGGGGGCTCGGGGTCACGCGTTTGTGGGGTGGCTTTTCCTTGTCCCCGCGCTGTGGCAGAGGCCTGGGGCTGGCCGGGGTCCGAGGCCACGGGGATGGGCTCCCTGGTGCTGGGAGGAGTGTGGGAAAGGGGTCGTGGGTGGGGTTGTGGGGGGTCATCCAGGAGGGGCTGAGCCTGGGTGCATTTTGGGGGTGAAGGGGGCGTTTCACGCCGCCTGTTGACCCCCCTCCAGTGCCGCGGGCTGCCTGCCAAGAAAAAAGAGGGGCGTGCACACCCCCCTCACCCCCCAGGTTGTGGCTTACTGGGGAGGTTTAACTGGTTTGACTGGTCTCCCGTGCAGGGTGGGGGGCCGGGTGCCCAGCCCCCCTGTGCGCGCCGGCGGACGCGGGGTGCTTGTTTACGGCTCGGTTTTCGGGGTCCCCACAGGGAGCTGGGGACCCACAGCAGCGCCTGGACCAGACCTAGGTGCGTCTTGAGGTGGCAGCGCTGTTCCGGGGTGGGGGAACCCCCTCCGTGTGCCGGCAGTAAACAGGATACGAGCGGCTGCGGTGGGGAGGCAGCGGCAGCATCGCCCCAGCCCCGCTGAGAGCCGGTACGTGGCCCCTGAACGCCCCCCACCCCAGCCCCGCTGAGACCCGGGATGTGCCCCCCCCGAGACCGCTCCAACCCCGCTGCTCGGGGGCAGGGTGTTGGTGGGGGGCACAGGTTCCCCCTGGACGGGGGGACCGGGTGGTGTTGGGGGTCCCCGGTGTGTGATGTGGGGGTCCCCGGTGTTGGGTTGGGTGGGTGTGGGGGGGTTCTGTGGTGGGGTTGGCCCCCAGTGTGCCCACTGGCACCAGTGCTCGGGTGCTGGACTGAGGTCCCCAACACTGGGAGGTGTCTGAGACCCCCCGGGACTGGGACAAGGTCACCTGTGGGGCTGGGGACAGGGCCGCTGGTGGGAGGGGGGACTCCCCCCGGCCGTGGGGGTGCTCAGGTCCCTGTGGGGTGGCCGTGGGTGGGCGGGGGGGGGGGGCTCTGGGCTGGTCCTGCCCCACCGCTGCTGCAATTTCCCGCCCGCGGTGGCAGCAGGCAGCGCTTCCCTCGCCACGGGGACAGGAAGGATAGCGGTGAGGCAACGCCGGCCGTGGGGCAAGACCCCCCCCGGGAGGTGTGATGAGCTGAGTACGGTCTCAGCCCGGTTCAGTCTCAGCCCGGTGCGATCTCAACCTGCTGTAGGAGCAACCAAGCCCTCTTTTGCCATCTGTCCGTGGCACCCGATGAATCCCATGGGAAAGCGGGCAGGGGCAGAACCGGCCCTGAGCAAACACCCTGGGCAAACACAGGCCGCGGGCGGGATCCCGGCAGCGGGCAGGGCTGGCCCTGGCACGGAGCCGGCAGCGGCGGGAGAGGCACCGTGTCCCTTCCTGGGCGCTGCTCGTGCTCTTCCCTCGGTCCCCTCGGCATCATCCCACCCCTTCGTCCTCGCTGGAGGTGTTTGGGGTGGGTGTGCGTGTGCACGCTGAGCTTTCCCCCCCCTTCTCCTGGCAGCGGGATGATCGCGGGGGATCATCCCCAGCGGCCCCGAGGTCCCTCTCCAGATGTTGGCATCGCTGGTGCATGCCCGGCACGCTGAGCCCCCCAGGCAAGCGGAGCCCCCCGATTCTCAGCGCCCACCTAAACCAGCGCCCCAGGGTGCCCCCGGGGTGTCCCCCCACCCCGCCATGGCGCTGGAGGTGGGGGCCGAGGCGCTGTTGGACCTGAGCTTCCTGACGGAGGAGGAGCGATGTGCCATCGCAGAGGTGCTGCGCCGCGACTGGCAACTCCGCCGGCGCGAGGAGGGGCGCATCAGGTGGGCTGGGGGTCCCCTGCTCGGCGTC